CAACTATAATCCTCCTTTCTGAAACTGTTCACAAACACTTACCCTGTGTTTGTAATTACCTTCCTCTTCTTCTGGTGGACCAGCTTGTCTCCATATTAAGATCAGAAACCATCTTTTTACGGGGTCAAAAGTAATTTGTTTCTATTTACTGTAAACTTTAAGTTTTTGAATTTGACATATTCCACAACCTATACCCTGACCTCTACCTCAGAAGGTAAGATGTTCTGCCAAGTTCCTACATCACCAACATTTCCCTGGAACCCACAAGCCTTGGAAGTGCTTTGCCTTGATTTTTTTTGTTTTTGGCTTAGGAAAACCTCAATTCTCTTATGTTACTTGCTACTTTCTCAAACCTGGGTTTAGGGAGGAATCCTATTGCAGAAATTAAAGCTTACCTAATTTGACTGAATTTTGAGTAGATGCTATTTACTCTTGTTCGGTGGGAATGACACTACTCATTCTTGGCTTTTTTCATGGAGGTGTGACCTATATGTTCATCTTGGTGGGTCTCTGGTACTTATTATCTGCCTGTATTAAGATGTTGCAGTCTCCCATTGTCTTCAATTATAGAACAAGGTGGCATCAAGTGTAGTCCCAAAGGATTTCCTGCTCAATAACCATTATCTTTCTTACCTCCATTGTGAAGCAACAATCCAATTTCCCCTTGGTAATCTTGATCAATCACCTCTCCTAAAACTGTTATGTCTTTCTTAACTTGTTGGCTTAAGGATACCAGAAGCCGGAAGAGGTCTGGGAGAAGTCTGAGCTTCCAGTTCAATAGAATGTTTGGTGTTGCTCCAGTCAGGAACACTGCCTCCACACCATCACCCTGGAACCAAAACTTCCAGGCCAACAGAACTTAAGGTTATGGGAACAGGCACAAATATTTTTCCAGGAGGTGATTAGGGGTGACAGTGAGTGGAACTATTCCATTTTTTACCACTTAATGCCTGTATCCATGGATCATGGCCATGGAGAATCCATACCATTATTGGCCACTGGTTCAAAGCATATACTGTGGAGAATTCTATCCCAGTCCTCCAGGCTGATGCTACTTATTGGCTCTGTAACTTGCGTCCATCCAAAGGCCATACCATCTTCTATCATGCCAGCTGATTGAGGAAATTGCTGAACAGGATAAGACCAGTGGATTCCATGTTTGTGGGCCACTGCTTTAACTCTCTGTCTGTGAATTAATTCCTTGGTCAGAATTCATACTGTGTGGAATACCATGATGGTTGACGAAGCAGTCTTTTAGTCCTTGTGTGGTAGTTTTTTGTAAAATCATTACATGTGGGAAAGGAAAATCTATACCTAGAAAAAGTATCTACTCCAGTAAGTACAAAGTTTTATCCATTCCATACAAGAAGAGATCTGCTGTCATTATGCTGTCAAGAATGGGGTTGGCTTGTCAGCCTGGGAAAAAGGTGATATATCTGGCGCTCTGTGTTTATCTCCACTGTGGGTAGATCTGGCATTCAGCAGCAGCTGTAACCAGGTGAGTCTTGATGAGTGGATGTCGATGTGGTTGATCATATAAATATCCCCCATCTCAGCATGGCTACCGTGATCATGGGCCCATTGGGCAATAAAAAGTATGACTCAAGAAAGAGGCTGACTGTCCACAGAATGGATCTTCTTAGCTATTGCTTATTGAACTCCTCCTCTGTTGAAGTCACCTTTTGATGGGCATTTATGTGGGATATATTGATCTTCACATTCTTTGCTCTTTTGAAGATCAGTCCAAGTATTTTTTCCTCAAATGTCTTTCTCTCCAATTTTTCTGCATTTTTCCTTTCTTCTTTTTATTTAAGCTTCTCATTCAATACACCATGAACTCAAAACACCCCACTTCTCTCAGATCTACTACTGCTCTATTTCTCTTCAGAAATGAGCAGGCCTTCTGGAGATATCAACCAAACTCAGCACAACAATCTTCATATCAAGGCTGGAGGAGACAACCAAGAAGGAAGAAAAGTTTCCCAAGAGCAGGCAACAGAGTCAGAGGCACACCATGCTCACACTCTTATGAATCCCACAAAACTCCCAAAGATAGACAACCACAGAAGACATAGTACAGACCTCTGCAGGCTCTGTTATTGCCTCTTCAACATCTGTGAGCTCCTCTCTTGGCCCCTCTGGACCCTCAATCCTTCCTTCCCCTCTTCCTTGGCGTTCCCTAAGCTGTGCCAAATGTTTGGTAGTGGATGTCAGTATCTGTTCTCATCAGGTGCTGGGGAAGCCTAACAGATAACAATTGGGCTAGGTACCAATCTCTGAGTATAACAGAATATTATTGGGTATCATTTCATTGACTTTTTTGGCAATGTCTTATTTGGTTCCACCTAGGTCTCTGTGCTACCCAGCTTCTGGTTCCTGACCATCCACACAGTGTTGGGCATCAGCTACCTTTCTTGGCTTGGCTCTCAAGATACACGAGTCATTGATTTGTGATTCCCACAATCTCTGGGCCAATATTGTCTCAGGAATGCTTGGAGGCAGGTTGCAGGTTCAAGGTTTTGTGGATGTGTTGTGTCCCAATTCCACCACTGGAAGCCTTTCCTGGTTACCAAAGATGACTGGTTCAGGCTCTTTATCCTACCTACATTACTAGGAGTCCTTACTAACGTCACCTTCAAAGGTTACATGAAGTTTCTACTACACTAGGTTTCCATATCTCCATTATATTCCTTCCAATTCCAGTTGTTTCTTCTGTGTTCTCTCCCTCCATCCTTTTTTCCTCATGGGAGTTCTGTACTGGCAATGTAAAGTATTTCATTTGCAAATAAGGGGTCTGGCAGGGTTTGCCTAGCTTCATTTCAAATCACACATTTGAGGGAATCAGTACCTGCCACTCTGACCTCAAACCTACATAGATAATATTCACTGATGTAACTGGTTTTCACCTGCCAAAGTTCCTATGAGGAAACAAAAATTTAGTCCTGAAAACTAATTCATTGATTTAACCTGTACTGAGTGATGAGCAGCATTGGAGCCAGACTTGCAGGAGAGCTAGGCTCAGAATGAATCACTGAATTTCCTGTCCTCTAGGCTTAGTGAGTCCTTCTTATTATGATGAACTGGGGAGGGATGATAGATGTGGAGAGCATTTTACAGATCACATTCTAAGGGGAACGGTCTCTAAACCCCATCTTCAGTAACTATTGAATATATTCCGCATCCTTTGGAAACCAGAATACTGTCTCACTTTTAAAGCCTAGCAGAGTAAGCATGGAAGTTCAAAGTATAAAGAGGATAAAACTCACCAGTGGAGGATGAAAATTATGAGTTATTGAGAAGCTGAATCTTGGCATTCACCATGATGGTATTGAGAAACACTAAGGATCTTCTCATAGTGCACTGTTAAGTGGATCTGGATGAGTGTTTCCAAGGAGGATTATCTGAGGGGGAGGGGCAAGATCACCAATGCAAGTTGGTGGAGCCATCCTGGGGACTGTGAGTCTGATTGGAATAAGAGGCCAGAAATAAGACAGCCACTTTCAGAGGTTCCTGCCTGGCTCTCTATCCTGCCCACTCTATATGAATTCTTCCACCATGACCTCCATCTTGTGGACACTGAGACCCCTGACAGGGTAAGGGAAACACCTCTTCTCAGATCCAGGTTATAGGAGGAATTAGTGCAAAACCCCAAGAAGATTAATTAATGGCTTTGTAGGAATGGACAGCATCTTTTATTTTATGGAAGATAAACCCCACTAAGCAAAATCTACTTGTGGTGGGTTTTCTTGATTCTCCTCTTGACTAACCCTGGAATTAATTAAAATCCTAAAATTCAGGGCACAACAGTAAGAAATGTGATTAAGTTAAAGTAGGTAAATCCACTACAAGAACAGACTTTGGAGGTAGAAAGAAAGAAACACTTAAGCCAGATCTCAAGGCCTGAAGACACACACCTTTAGTCCAGATCTTGAGGCTGGAAGACACACCCTAGATTGGGCCACACCCTCTGCTGGAAGCATATAAAAGGATATGGAGGAAGGAAGCTCTTCCTCTTTTCCTGCTTGCCCTCACCTTGCAGCAAGTCCATTCCTTCCCTGAAGTTAGAATTTTTCTTTGGAATCCCAGCATATACTGAAGACCAGCCAACACTTCCTACCTCCTGGACTGAGTAAGTGTCTGATTCTTGGACTTTTTCTTCACAGCTATGCAATGTGGTTTTAGCAGGACTGAAGCCTTAAGTCATTCTAATAAATCCCCTTCCTTCATACCCAGAGAGATTCCGTGTACTTTTGCTGTTCTTTTGGAGAACTGAAGTACATTTTTTATATGAGTGCATAAAATGATCCAATTTTTTAGAGTTGTATTTAAAGCTGAAAACCTATTTAACTAAGATTCAATCTGGGAAAAAATGGAGTGATGTAAGAGTTCCTAGTAGCCTAGACTGTCTTCTCTGAATCTACTATTGAAAACTGGATAGAAGATTTCAGAGACCCAAGTTTCTATACTCATAGAGGAAGGAACAGAAGAGAAACAGAAACTGAAAATCTAATTCTGTGTATTATTTTGTCCCACAGGTTAGAGAGAAAACAATTGCTAGTTCTTCATTTTGGATCCACTTTAACCTTCTAACTACCTCCAGGAGAAATGTCAGAGGACAGGGTAGCCCAGATCTAGGACTACACACAGATCCCCATCCAGAATTTCTCTTACAGGTGGACCATCAGCAACTTCTGTTTTATTCTGGAGGAATTTTGGGAACACATTAGAAGTCCAACTTTCTCAATAGGAGCCAATGACAAATTGTGTTTGAGAGTAAACCCAAGGAAGTCAATGAAGGAAGTGCTGATCACCTGTCAGCTTACCTAGTGTTACTCAGCTGTCTAAAGAGTCATATTTGGGCAAATCTTAAACACTGAAGAAAAGAAAATCCAAGGTGTGGGGAGCCATAGTGGCTTTAGGTTCCTGCCAAGCTCTGATTGGGATTCAAAAAGTTATCCTTTGAAATTTCCTCTTGTCTCATGCTTCTTGGCTTCTCCCAGATGATGGGTTCACCCAACTCTGCAAGGTGAGACTGGTCCAGGACTCCTTCAATATCTTTGAGCAGAACTGGAATGCAGGGATCCAGATTCCCAGATGTACATTGGCAGCTAAGCTAGGAGAGCTGTGGGAGAATTCTGGATTCACAGACTGCTGCCTGGTGGTAGTTGGCCAGGAATTCCGGGCTCACAAGGCCATCTTAGCAGCTCGCTCTCCAGTTTTCAGAGCAAGTCTCAACATGATATGAAGGAGAGCAAAAGTAACTGCATTGAGATCCATGACCTCGAGCCGCAAGTCTTCAAGGCATGATGGACTACATTTACACCAGAAAAACACCAAACCTGGACAGCATGGCAGATGCTGTGCTGGCAGATGTTGTCAATTATGGCCTGGAGTGTTTGAAAGGCATGTGTGAGGATGCGCTTTGCATGGTCCTCTCTGTGGAGAATGCTGCCCACACTCTCTTCCTGGCTGACCTCCACAGCTCAGGGCAGCTGGAAACCCAGGCACTGGATTTTATTACAGCTCGTGCTTCTGGAAGATAATGGTGGGCTCATACCCCCACTTGATGGCTGAAGTGTATGGCTCCCTGTCTTCTGCACAGGGTCCTTTCATGGAGCCCCCACTCAAACACATGAAGCAATTCTAGAACCTGGTCAGCTGTGACCTACACGTGTCTCCCAGAAGCAGCCAGTGTTGTTATCAATGACATCTGGGTACACTATGGGATTTGTGGAGCATTTTCAGTGAAACTGTCGAAAGACAGATGGTGGTTCAGGTTTTAATACAGCTGATAATACGCTAAATGGCAGGTTATTGTTGTGGAGACTGGACTCTGGTATTCTTCGTGTTTTGATAATTAGTCCTATGAGTTGGAAACTGGGATTCAATTTAGTTGCTGGCCCCATGGACATCCCAAGAGGGTTTCTTCGGAGAAACCTGTCTGTATTGGACTGAGAAGACCATATGATCAAGGGCTCAGCAAAGGACCAAACAAAAATGAATGTTTGTTTACAAGAGAAGTAGAAGGGAATGAAGACATTTTTTTTTCCTCCAAACTCAATGTGTGGGACCTGAGAGATGACCCAGTTACAAAATAAATTGTTGCTCTTGCAGAGGATCCATGTTCAGTCCTCCTCTAGTCTCCATGGACACATCCATGTCTGTAGACTGTACCTTCCAAATAAATTTTAAATGAATAAAAATGTTAAAATCAGCTTGTGGATACCAGTGGTGTTTCTGTTTGAAGAATCTTATTTTAGTCTATTCAGTTCTGCTCAGCTGTGGAAGTTTGTGCAGGGTCTTTACTCCTACACACACAAAAAATTCAGTGAAATTATCCCTAATGAAATTCTGTTATACTCATAGATTGGTGCCTGCCCAAAAGACATCAGTTAGGCTATCTCCAGCATCTGATGAGAGCAGATACTGAGGTCCATAGCCAAACATTAGATAGAGCTCAGGGAACCTCAAGGAAGAGAAGAAGGCAGGATTGTAGGAGGGATCAAAGATATCAGGTAAAAGGAGCACACAGATTTAACTAAACAGGGTCCATGTGGGTGTCGCCGACACTGAAGAGGGAATCACAGAGCATGCATGGGTCTGTACTAAGTCCTCTGTGTACATGCTGTGCTTGTTTAGCTCAGGGGTTTTGTGGGAGTGCTAATAGCAGGAGTATGGGGAGTCTCTGACCTGTTTGTCTGATCCTGGAACCCTTTTCTTCCTTCTGTGTTGGATCCTATAGCCTTGATATGAGGGTTTGTGCCTACTATTATTACATCTTGGTATGTTGTATTCAGTTGATATCCATAGGAGACCTGTCCTTTTCTGTAGGGAAGCAGAGGATTAGTACATATCTGTGGAATGGAGGGAGGGGAGATTATGGCCAGATGGGATTGTATGAGAGAAGGAAAAATAAAAAGTAAAAAGGAAATAAAGAAATATTAGAAAGACATTTGGAGAAGAAGTATTTGGACAGATCTGCAAAGGAGTAAAGAATGTAAAGATTCTTTTGCCCCATGTAAATGCCCACAAAAGGTGTCTTTGGTAGAGAAGGAGGTCAATAATCAAATTGATAGGATGACCCATTAGATGGACAGCCAGTCACTTTGCCAAGTCATCCTTGGTATTGTCTCAAGGCCCCATGATCAAAGCAGTCATGGTAGCTGAGATAGAGGTTATGCATGACATCAACAAGGTAGATATCCACTTATCAAGATTGACCTGGTTACAGTTGCTGCTGAATGCCAGATCTGCCAACAACAGAGACCAACACAGAGCCCCAGAGATGTCACCATTTCACCAAGCTGTCCACTCAACTACTTCATGACAGGATGACTACATTGGGCCACTTTCTCTGTGGAATAGACAACATGGGATAGGATTCACCAGGAGTCATTTTTCTCCATAGCCCAGATCCATGGATGTAGGCACCAGGTGTTCAAAAAGGAAATAGTAACAATCAATTACCATCACCCCTAGTGACATCTTGGGAAAAATTACTCTATTTTTTTTTTTTTACATGATTTTAAGTTATTTTTTGGTCTGGAATTTTGATTCCAGTGTGATTGTTCAGGTGGGGGCAGTGTTCTTGTTTGGAGCCAGAACAAACAGTTCATTGACCTGGAAGCTCAGACTTCTCCCAAGCCACTTGGAACACCTGATGTCTTTAATCCAACAGACCAAGAAGGAAAGAACAGTGTTAGGATGGGTGATTGATAAAGATAAACATAAGGAAATTGCGTGGCTTCTCCACAATGGAGGTAAAAAAAGATTATGGCTTTCAGGCAGGAAATCCTTTAGGGCTCCTCAGGGTGCCGCATTTTTCAATGATTAAAGAGGTTGGGAGATGACAACAGCCTAATGCAGGCAAATGACTAAAGATACAGACTAAACAGGAATGAAGAAATATATCACAGCTCCAGGAAAAGGGCCAAGATTGGTAGTGATATTCCCACTGAAATAAAGACCACCAACCCAAGTATTTTGAGTCAAATTAAGTAAGCTTTTTTTGTGATAATAGGTTTTCTCTCTAATCTCAGGTTTGAGAGAATAGCCAGGAATATAGGAGAAGTGGGGTTTTTATAACCCAAAATATGCAAGGATAAGAATTTTCCAAGGGCTGAGGAGTTCCAGATGAAATTTGGTAATGTAGGATCTTGGCTGAACTTTCTAAACACGAGACAAAGACAAACAGAAATAGTGTTTGAGAGTATACCTGACCAGGTCCATGAAGAAAGCAAAAATTACCTGCAGTTTAGTTTGTGTTGCTTAGCTGTCCAAAGAGTCAAGTTTGGGCAAAGACTCTGGCTTCACTGGAGCCATGGACCCAGACATAGCCCTCAGCATCAGTCAGGGCTCAGATGTCACCATGGACCTTGGTGGGACTACAGTCCTGTTTGTGTGGCATAGCCCCTGTATATAGATTTATGTCTGAGTCTTCCATTAAATTCATGCCAATAACATGTTCTTTCATTACCATAGCTTTGAAGTACAATTTGAAATCAGGAATAGTGAGATCTTGGCCATTTTTATATGTCAATCCTACTGACCAATGAGCATGGGAGATTTTTCCATTTTCTGATATCTTCTTCAATTTCTTCCTCAAAGATTTGAAGTTTTTAATCATCCAAGTCTTTCACTTGCTTTGTTAGAGTTACCCACAAGGTATTTCATATTTTTGAGGCATTTTGATAGGGTTTCTGCTCTGATGTAATTGACCGTGTAAACCCACAAATGACCAAAACTCAGAAAGACATAAACCATATTTTCATATCATTAAAAGCAGGAAGGGCATTTTTCAAAACTCAATATTCCTTCATGATAAAATGCAAAGAGAGATTGACTCATAAGTCACATACCTAAATATGATAATGGAGGTTTAAAATGTTTCCATAGTCAGCATCAACTTAATGAAGAGAAACTCAAAACAATTGCACTAAAATCTGGAACAAGACAAGGTTTTTCCCTCTCTTTGTATCTGTTCAATATAACAATTGAAGTCTTAATTATATCAGTAAGGCAAGTGACAATAAAAGGGATACAATCTGAAAAGGAAGAAGAAGCCTGCCAGCACCTGACTAGACTAAGAGGTGAGTCTTTATCCTCATACCTGAACACCCCAGACCCTAGGCTTTGGGCCCAGGGGCACAACCCTATGCCCCTAAACCACCACCCATTGCAGTTCCAGTTTCAGGTCAGATGGCAGGCAGACCTCCTGCTCATAGGACAGACTACCACCATCCCCCATCAGACCCTGTAACCCAAGCCCCACCTCCCCCAAATCCCACCCACCCTCTGAGACTAAAACTGTTCCCTGAGACAGAGCCTGCCAGCACCCAACTGCACTAAGAAGGCCAGTTGGCAGGCAGACATCCTGCAGACAGGTCAGACTACCACCATCTACCTACCACACGGTAAGACTGCAGCTACTCCTTGAGACAGAGCCCACTAGCACCAGTTGGACAAAGAGCTGCTCCCTAAGACAAAAAGTCCATCAGCATTGACTAGACCAAGAGCTCCCACTGGATCAAGAGCATCAATCAGACCAAGAGAGGCTACCTCAGACACAGACACCATTTGCACCAAGTGGAGAAAGAGATGGGTAGACACCAGTGCAAAAATACAGTCAACAACATAAAAACCAATATGGCTTCATCAGAAGCTACATCAGCAAGACCTGAACATCCCAACACAGAAGAAACAGAAGATATCTACCATAAAAATGACTTTAAGAAGATAATAGAGATATTTAAAGAGGAAATGAAAAATTCCCTGAAAGAAATGGAGGAAAAGTCAAACAAAAAAATGGGAAGAAATCAGTAAATCCCTTGAAAGCCAAGAGAAAGCAATTAAACAAGTGAGGGAAACAGTGCAAGATTTCAAAACTGCAATGGAGTCAAAAAAGAAGACACAAACTGAGGTAATGCTAGAAGTGAAAAATCTGAGTAAATGAACAGGAACTATAGATGCAAGTATAACCAACAGAATGCAAGAGATGGAAGAGCAGATCTCTGGCATTGAAAATACAGTAGAAGAAATAGATTCCTCAGTCAAAGAAAACACTAAAACCAACAAAGTCATGACCCAAAATGTGCAGGAAATTTGGGACACCATGAAAAGACCAAACCTAAGAATAATAGGGATAGAAGAAGGAGAAGAATACCAATTCAAAGGCACAGTAAATATTTTCAACAAAGTCATAGAAGAGCCCAAACTAAAGAAGGAAATGCCTACAAAAATACAAGAAGGTTACAGAACACCAAATAGACTGGATCCAAAAAAAGTCCCACTGTTACATAATAATCAAACCACTAAACATACAGAATAAAGAAAAAATATTAAGTGCTGCAAAGGAAAAGGGCCAAGTAACATATAAAAGCAGACCCATAAGAATAACACCTAACTTCTCAATGGAGACTCTAAAAGCCAGAAGGTCCTGGACAGATGTTATGCAGATACTAAGAGACCATGAATGCCAACCCAGACTATTTTACCCAACAAAACTCTGAATCAACATAGATAGAGTAAACAAAATATTCCATGATAAAATCAGATTTAAAGAATATCTCTCCACAAATCCAGCCCTACAGAAAGTACTTGAAAAAAAACCAACCTTAGGAAGTTAGATATACCCATGAAAACACAGGCAATAGATAGTCCCATACCAGCAAATACCAAAGAAGGGAAACGTACAACACTACCAACAAAAATAACAGGAATTAACAATTACTGGTCATTAATATCCATTATCAATGGTCTCAATTCACCTATAAAAAGACACAGGCTAACAGAATGGATATGGAAACAAGATCTATCCATTTGCTGCATACAAGAAACACACCTCAACTTCAAAGACAGAGGCCACCTCAGAATAAAAGGCTGGGAAAAGACATTCCAATCAAATGGATTTAAGAAGCAAGCTGGTGTAGCTATCCGAATATCTAATGAAATAGACTTCAAACTAAAATCAATTGAAAAAGATCAGGAAGGACACTTCATATTTATCACAGGGAAAATCTGACAAGCTGAAGTCTCAATTCTGAATATTTATGCCCCAAACGTAAATGCACCGACATTCGTACAAGAAACATTACTAAAGCTTAAATCACACATCAAACCCCATACACTAGTAGTGGCAGACTTCAACACCCCACTCTCACCAATGGACAGGTCTGCCAGACAGAAACTTAACAGAGAAATAAGGGAACTAACAGACATTATGACTCAAATGGACTTAACAGATATCTACAGAATATTCCACCCTAACACAAAAAATATACCTTCTTTTCAGCACCCCATGGAACCTTCTCCAAAATCGACCACATGCTTGGTCACAAAGCAAATCTCAACAGATACATAAAAAAGTAGGCTCCATCCCAGTGATGCAAGGATGGTTCAACATAAGAAAATCTGTCAATGTAATACACCATATAAACAAACTGAAAGATAAAAACCACAAGTTTAAGGCAATGATGGACTTCATTTACACTGGAACAGCACCAGACATGGACAGCTTGGCAGATGCTGTGCTGGCAGCTGCTGACAAGTATTGTTTGGAGCATTTGAAGGTCATGTGTGAGGCTAAACTTTTCAGAGACCTCTCTGTGGAGAATGCTGCCCACACTCTCTTCCTGGCTGACCTCCACAGCTCAGGGCAGCTGAAAACCCAGACACTGGATTTCATTACCGTTCATGCTTCTGAGGTCTCTGAGACCTCAGACTGGAAGGCAATGGTGGGCTCATATCCCCATTTAGTGGCTGAAGCATACCATTCCCTGGCTTCTGCTCATCTCCCTTTCTTGGGGCCCCCTTTCAAACGCTTGAAGCAATCCTAGGACCTGGTCAACTGTGACCTACACTTGTCTCCCAGAAGCAGCAGCCATTGTTGTTACCAATGACACCCGGGTAGACTATAGGATGTGTGGAGCATTTCCAGTGAAACTGGGGAAAGACAGCATGGTGGCTCAGGCTATAATACAGCTGTAAATCAGGTGGTTGTCAGGTTAAAGGGGGGGAAGTGCTGAGCTATGTTATACACTACCCTGTTACTGTACTGGTTTGATTTTTGTCAATGAATTGTGAACTGGAGTTCATATTAGTTGCTGGCCCCAAACACGTTACAACAGCGTTTCTCTGGAGAAACCTGTCTAGATTGGACTGAGCAGAACATAAGGTCAAAAGCTCTGCACAGGAGAAAACAAACATGAACATTTGATTACAAGAGAAGTAGAAGAGAAAGAAAACATTTTTTTTCTCCTAAGTCAGTGTGTGGGACTGAAGAGATGACTCAGTTGGCAAAAGCAATTGTTGCTCTTGCAGAGGACCCTTGTTCAGTCCTCCTCTTCCTCCCATGGGCACATCCATCTATGTAGACAATATCTACCCAAATAAAATATCAAATAAATAAAAATTTTCAAATCAGCTTGTGGATTCCAATGGTGTTTCTGTTGGGCGGTGTCCATTTTAGTCCATCCAGCTGTTCTCAGCTGTGGAAGTTTGTGTAGTGTCCTCACCCACCGGCATCTGCAACACTCTCACCACCTTTCAGAAAACCCTTACCCTTGCAGTTTTGGAGTTATAAAAACCCTACTTCTCCTATGTTTCTGGCTATTTTCTCAGTCCAAGCATTAGGGAGAAAACCTAATATGGCAGGAAATAAAGCTTATGTAATTTGACTAAAATATTTTGACTCAATTAATATTGAGATGAATAAAAAGTCTTGCTGTTCATTAAATTAATGTTATAGGTAACCTTTCAATATCATTTGTTTAAGATTAACAATATGTTTACTGTGATTAAAGAGAAATTCATGAACCAGGCATGATGTGAAAGTCTATGGCATTGATCAGAATAGTCTGAAGGGAGAGGCTGACTCAACTCTGCTAGTCTAAGTTCTAACTTGGTCCATAGAGCAACTTCTAGGAGAGCCAGACATGCAGAGTGGAAAGCAATTAAAAATGAAAGAAAGAAACAGGAATGAAATCATGATTACTTCTGAATTCTTGCTAAAATATTTCAGATGCCAATGATTTAGAAAGGAACTAGTCTTTCAGAGCTGTTCCATCCTCTTTAAGAAAGTAACTGTGGTGGCATGGAGAAATGGTTCAGCAGTCAAAGGTGCTGAATACCTTTCCAGAAGACTGTCATCCAATTCACTTCATTAATAGGTCAGCTGACAACAGTCAGTAACTGCAGTTATCCAGTTATCCAGGGGATCCAACAGCTCCTTTCAGCCTGTGAGGTACCATATGCTCATGGTGCACTGACCCACGTGTGTAACAGGGCCCAGACATTAGGAGGCCCACATAGGTAAGCACAACTGTCTCCATGAAGGAAGTACCATTCTAGTTGTACAACGCAGAACTTGTCTAAAAAACAGTAACCCCTACCACAGATAAAACAAAGGCTTAATGCACCAAAGTCCATAGTTCTAGGAATATCTCTAAATGTTCAAACCTTGCTTGAAATATAGTACCACTTTTCGCTTCTGTAGTGCCACTTCAGGCTAACATCTTATAACTGAAGTTTGTCAAATAAGAATATGGGAATTTTGCTTAAAAGCCCTCACTGAGAAAGGCTAGTTACTGCACTGGAATCCCAAATACCTCATGTGTTTGCCAGCTGGCTAAGAAGGACTTTCTATTTTCCTAAATCCATTTTCAAAAGTCTCTTCTCTCTCTCTCTCTCTCTCTCTCTCTCTCTCTCTCTCTCTCTCTCTCTCTCTCTCTCTCTCTCTCTCTGTGTGTGTGTTTCTGCAAGTCTTTCTACATGTTACTGTTAGTATTGTTTTCCTGTATTGATTGTTGGCTTTCTCTGTTTTATGAACACCTTTGCTGCTTAAGACTTTGCCTTATCCTGTGGGAATCTGAATCACTTTGGCTGTGCCATGTCCCCCAGAGAACCACCTACCTGAAATAAAAGCTACACATGGTCCATTCCTGGAATGAGAAACTATAAGAAAAGATCTTGTAATTGAGACACAGGCAGGAGTCATTTCCCCATTGAGAGAATTGCTACCACTCTGCAGGAGCATGCTCATGGAAGCTCAGAACTTACAGGTAGAGCACTTTTCTTACAAATGAGGGGTCTTGCAGGAATTGTCTACCTTCATTACAAATGATGTCATTTGAGGTAAGGGTTTTCTGCCACCCTGGCCCTAAACACATACAGAAAAGTCACAGAGGCTACTAGTTAGCCACCTGCCAAAGGTTCCTAAAGGAGGAAACAAAAGTTCAAAGATTAAAACCAATTGATTGATTTATTCTGGATTGAGGGATGAGCAGCATTAGAGTCAGATTTCAGGAGAGCTAGGCTGGGAATTGCTGACTAGATTGAATCACTGAAGGTATTTGCCAGTCCTCTAGGCTTATTGAGTCCCTCTAGACATGATGAACTAGAGAGATGATAGATGTGGGGAGCATTTTACAGATGATATTCTAAGAAGAACTGTTTCAATCCCCTTCTTCAGTTGTTGAATATATTCTGCACCCTTTCAAAACGAGAATACTGTCTCACTTTTAAAGCCCATCAGAGTAAGCATGGAAGTTCAAAGTTTAAAGAGGACAGAACTCACCAGTGGAGGATGAAAATTATGAGGTATTGAGAAGCTGAATCATGGCAGTCAGCATGATGGAATTGGGAACTTAGGATCTTCTCATAGCATACCCTTAGTGGATTGAGAACAGTTTTTTCAAGGGGGATTATCTTAGGGGGAGGGGCAAGATCACCAATGAAAGTTTGTGGAGCCATCCAAGGGAATGTGAGTCTAGATGAAAGAAGAGGCCACTTTCAGAGTTGCTGCCTGGCTCTGCTTCTTGACCACCATATAGGAATTCTTCCACCCTGATCTCCATGTTGTGATCACTGAGTCCCCTGACAGGGTAAGGCACCACCTCTTTCCCGATCATGTTGGTGGGAAGATCAGTATAAAACCCTGAGAAGAGGAAATAACAGCTGTGTAGGAATGGACACCATCCCTATTTTATTTAAGATGAACTTCAACAAGCAAAATACTCTTGTGTGGTTTTTGTGGATTCCCAACTTAACAAGACATGGAATTAACTAAAACCCTAAAATGGAGGTCATAATAGTGAGAAGTGTTTTGCTTCATTTGATGTGGGTAGATCCAATTCAAGTACAGACCTTCGAGGTAAAAAGACACAAACACATACTCCAGATCTCAGGGGCTGAAGACACACAACTTTAATCCTGATCTTGAGTCTGAAAGACACACCCTAAATTAGGCACACCTTCTGCTTGAAGCCTATAAAAGGACATGGAAGCAGGAAGCTCTTGCTATTTGCCTACTTGCCCTCACCTTGCAGCAAGTCCATCCCTTCCCTGGCAATAGAGAGTATTTAGAACTCTAGCATATACTGAAAACCAGTGGACACATCCAACATCCAGCACCGTGTAAGTACTGTAATACTGGACTTTCCCTTCATAGGTAATGTGGGATTAGCAGGACTGCAGTCCGAAGTCATTCTCATAAATCCCATTTGATTATATATATATATATATATATATATATATATATATATATATATATATATAGAGAGAGAGAGAGAGAGAGAGAGACAGAGAGAGAGAGAGAGAGAGAAAGAGAGAGAGAGAGAGAGAGAGAGAGAGAGAGAGAGAGAGAGAGAGAGAGAGAGAGATTCCTTGTATGCATTCTATTCCTCTAGAGGACCCTAGTGCAACATTTTTTATATGAATTAATAGAATGAATGAGCAAAACTATTCAAAAGCTGTGTATAATTGTCAAAACTAGTTACTTACTGAACTAAGATTCAATCTAGAAAATAATGGAGTGATGTAAGTGTATTTAGTAGCCTAGACTGTGTTCTCTGAAATTAGCATTGAAATCTGGATAGAAAATATCAGAAACCCAAGTTTCCAGCCTTGTAGAAGAGGAAACAGATGAGAAACAAAAACTAAAAATCAAAATCCTGTCTGTTATTGCGTTTCACAGGGTGAAGAGAAAACAATTGCTAGTTCTTTTTGGATCCAATTGAGCATTCAAACTACCTCAAGGAGACATGGCAGGAGATGAGATAGCCCAGAGATGGGACCACACACAAATCAGTGTTCAGGATTTATCCTACAGGTGGACCATAAGCAACTTCCCTTTTATTCCTGAGGAAATGCGGCAAAGCATTAGAAGCCAAACTTTCTCAATAGGAGCCAATGACGAATGGTGTTTGAGAGTATACCCGAACGGAGTCAATGAAGAAAGTGCAGATTACCTGTCAGTTTACCTAGTGTTGCTCAACTGTCCGAAGAGCCATGTTTGGGCAAAGTTCCAGTTCTGGATCGTAAGTGCCGAAGGAAAGAAAACCAAAGTCATAAAGAGCCCAAGAGCCTTTAGTTTCGTGCCAGGCCAGGACTGGGGTTACAAAAAGTTTATTCTTCGAGATTTTCTCTTTTCCCGTGCGTTACTGCTTCTTCCAGATGACCAGCTCACCCTTGTCTGCAAGGTGAGCATGGCCCAGGTCTCTTTGAGCCTCTCTGACCAGAAGAAGCCGGGAATTCTGGTCCCCAGATGCACATTGACAGATGAGCTAGGAGAGCTGTGGAAGAATTCCCAATTCACAGACTGCTGCCTAGTGGTAGCTGGCCAGGAATTCTGGGCTCATAAGGCCATCTTAGCAGCTCGCTCTCCAGTTTTCAGAGCCATGTTTCAACATGACATGGAGGAGAGCAGAAAGAATCGCGTTGAGATCCCTGACCTGGAGCCACAAGTCTTCAAGGTAATGATGGACTTCATTTACACAGGAACAGCACCAGACTTGGACAGCATGGCAGCTGCTGTGCTGGCAGCTGCAGATAAGTATGG